CCATCTAATTTGCACATGACATTACCAAATCCAGTTACTTTCTACTACCTGACTACTTTTGTTTTCAAGTTACACGTGTTAAGGCCCAAGTTGTTCGGCCTACTAGTTATTACAGTTCCAGCATATCCAATCACAAGGGTCTACTGCACTATCTGCTCTCCGCAGGCCAAGCTGTGTTATCGCCCCATATTGTCTACCCATTTGCCAAGGTGTTCCTCCACTGTTGCAGTTTGCTACTGTGGCTCAAGAAAGAACCAATTTCTACAGAGGTGTGTTTTGCCCATTTTTAAATCTGCCAAATCTTACACTCCACCCTGTGTTTGCCAAAGGGGTACCACTCTAATTCAATGTTATGTAAAGGGAAAGCTCTCTTCCTTTGTATTCACCCTCTATTAAGGAACTTCTATCTTTTGGCTTAAGGAAGATTTGAGTCCTTATGTGCACCAACTAGGGCCCCATCGAGCGTGCAGAAGATCAGACATTGCAGTTAAAGGGACATTGGCCTATTTAATTGAAGATCTCTTCTTTCCTCAAAATTAGATGCAGCTACCAGCCACTGAGAGCTCAGAGTGAGATAGCCTTTCTGTTTGGTAGGTTTTTTTTTTACTCACTGAGGAAGAAACCTCTCTGAACTGGGGCTATCATTGAAATTCTGAATCGCAGGACCTCTAGAACTGATTGAGATTGTGCTGTGTTGTAACCATTATTTGAAGTTACTAGAGTGACAGCTGTTATCTTATGCACTTATTTTCGTGTTCCTTTACTGTGCTTACATTTCATCTCAATACATTCAACATATCAGTTCAATCTAAACTGTGTGTGAGTCTATTTTATGGTTGCAGCCAAAGGATTCTTCTGGCTAGAGGTATAAGGGGGTGTCAGCAGAGGTTGGGCTTCCAGAGTGGGGTCAATAAAGACAGGGAACCAGAAAATTACTCAGCAGCCCCTGAGGGGGTAATGCTATAAATAGAAAGATAGATAGATAGATAGATAGATAGATAATAGGTAGATAGATAGATATAGATAGATAGATAGATAGATAGATAGATAGATAGATAGATAGATTGATGATACATAGACAGATAGATAGATAATGGTGATAGATAGATAGATAGATAGATGGTGATAGATAGATAGATAGATAGATAGATAGATAGATAGATAGAACAAAGCATTGTGTATTTACCAATGAAATAAAGTTGTTTTGTTCTTTTTTTTTTTTTTTTATTGATCTGTATAATTTCAGTGTGCCATTACCAACATGAACGAACACCTAAAAAAAAATGAAATAATTGGTAAAAAATAAAATTTAAAAATCAGCAAAAAAAGGATTAAAATGAATTTAGTAATGATGAGAACCAATTACGGGGACTAGATATAAGACTAGATAGATAGACAGTGTCAGGACCTGGATCACCAGCTGATGTCACTATGCTGCATGGAGCAGCTTGTCTTGCAGTGCCCCCCCCCCCCCCACATAAAAAAAAAAACTGCACCACGAACAGCTGCCCCTCCTGCACCAGCCCTCCCCCAGTTCTGAAGAAATGGAAAGAAAGAAAAAAAAGCTTGTGATACAGTAAAAATCATCTCACTTTGGTAATTAAATGAAATTCAGCTTTGAACATTGACCCAGAGTAAAGAAACATTTGAAGCAAACTAGATAAAGTTCACAGCAATCTTCTCTTTGAACAATTCAATGCAAGTTTTTAGAGCTGTCAAATTCTGCCCTTTTGAAGGTAAATATTCTACCAGTAAAACAGGAACCAAATTTATACATGGAGAGAAAACACTTTTAAAGGTGTAAGTTAGTAAAGATGCTATTGCACGAAAAAAGCTTTTACTTCAGTGCCAACATTATTTGCAAAAAAATAGCTGGTTTTTGCTGTAATGGGTTTGGTGATGTTATGTTGCTGATTCTACACTGCTCAAAAAAATTAAAAACACTTTGAAAATACATTGGACATCAAAGGGGAGAAAATCTCATGCTGGATATTTTATACTGATATGGACTGAGTAATGTGTTAGGAACGTAAGGATGCCCCATCATTTGATGTAAATGAAAATTATCGACCTACAGAGGACTGAATTCAAAGATACCCCAAAAAATCTAAGTGAAAAAATTATTCAGCAGGCTAGTCCATTTTGCTGAAATGTCATTGCAACAATTCAAAATGGTCCTCAGTAGTTTGTATGGCCCCCACGTGCATGTAGTTTGTATGCATGCCTGACAATGTCGGGGCATGCTCCTAATGAGACGACGGATGGTGTCCTGGGGTATTTCCTCCCAGATCTGGACCAGGGCATCACTGAGCTCCTGGACAGTCTGAGGTGCAACCTGACAGCGTTGGATAGGAACATGATATCCCAGAGGTGTTCTATTGGATTTAGGTCAGGCGAGCATGGGGGACATTCAATGGTATCAATTCCTTCATCCTCCAGGAACTGCCTGCAAACTCTCACCACATGAGGCCGGGCATTGTCGTGCACCAGGAGGAACCCAGGATCCACTGCACCAGCATAGGGTATGACAATGGGTACAAGGATTTCATCCCAATACCTCATGACAGTCAGAGTGCCATTGTCTAGCCTGTAGAGGTCTGTGCGTCCCTCCATGGATATGCCTCCCCAGACCATCACTGACCCACCACCAAAGGGGTCATGCTGAAGGATGTTACAGATAGCATTACGTTCTCCATGGCTTCTCCAGACCCTTTCATGTCCATCACATGTGCTCAGGGTGAACCTGCTCTCATCTGTGAAAAGCACAGGGTGCCAGTGGTGGACCTGCCAATTTTGGTATTCAATGGTAAATGCTGGGCACTTAGCACAGGGACCACTAGAGGACGTCGGGCCCTCAGGCCACCCTCATGAAGTCTGTTACTGATTGTTTGGTCAGACACATTCACACCAGTAGCCTGCTGGAGGTCATTTTGTAGGACTCAGGCAGTGCTCATCCTGCTTCTCATTGCACAAAAGAGCAGATACCGGTCCTGCTGATAGGTTAAGGACCTTCTACAGCCCTGTCCAGCTCTCCTAGAGTAACTGCCTTTCTCCTGGAATCTCCTCCATGCTCTTGAGACTGTGCTGGGAGACAAAGGAAACCTTTGGCAATGGTACGTATTGATGTGCCATCCTGGAGGAGTTGGACTGCCTGTGCAACCTCTGTAGGGTCCAGGTATCGCCTCATTCTTCCAGTAGTGACACTGACTGTAGCCAAATGCAAAACTAGTGAAAAAAAAAGGCAGAAAAGATTAGTAGGGGAAAAAATGTCAGTGGCCTCCACTTTTAAAAACCGCCCCCTCCTGCCCACCCCTTAGTGAAACGCCTGACTAACGATACAAAAACTGTAAGAGGCTGCTACTAGGTCACACTCAGCTACTTACACTGCTTGCATTAACCACTTGCGGACCACCAACTTGCATTTTACTGTGGGTGGGCGGCTCATACAGGCACAATCATGTAACTGTACAGGGAGAGGAAACAAACAGAGTTTTTGTAAAAAACAGCACACATTATACACATTAACACTTGTTAGGCACGCACTTAACCCCTTCATCACATCAGGATGTTAACTGATCACTGTATTAGTGTCAATGGTAATGTGGTGATTGTCTACCTCCTACCCAAAAAGAATTCCAATATATATATATATATATATATATATATATATATATATATATATATACATACACTATATATTGTCAAAAGTATTGGTCGGCCTGCCTTTACACGCACATTAACTTTAATGGTATCCCAGTCTTAGTCCGTAGGGTTCAATATTGAGTTGGCCCCACCCTGCAACTATAACAGCTTCAACTCTTCTGGGAAGGCTGTCCACAAGGTTTAGGAGTGTGTCTATGGGAAGGTTTGACCCGCTCTGTCATTTTACGTGGCCTACCACTTGGTGGCTGAGTTGCTGTTATTCCCAGCTGCTTCCACTTTGTTATATAATCCCACTAACAGTTGACCGTGGAATATTTAGTAGCCAGGAAATGTCATGGATAAACTTATTGCACAGGTGACAACCTATCACGGGACCACGCTTGAATTCACTGATCTCCTGAGAGCGACCCATTCTTTCACAAATGTTTGTAGAAGCAGTCTGCATGCCTAGGTGTTTGATTTTATACATCTGTGGCCATGGAGGTGATTGGAACACCTGAATCCAATGATTTACAGGCATGTTCCGATACTTTTGGCAATATAGTGTACTTTAAGGCATGCTAATGTAGCCTTTCAAGCAATATTATGTTAGTCTAGGATACCTTAAAGTGGTGAGGTAACCATCCAGCCCCCCTTTATACTTATGTGAGCCCAATCTTGATCCAGCGATGTGCATGAGAGCTGAGGCTCTCCTTATTGGCTCATACAGCAGGGGGAGCCATTGGCTGTTAATCACAGCCAGTGAGCCAATGAAGAGAGAGTGGGGGAGGGGCCAAGCTGCACTGTGTATGAGTGGCCAATGTCCATTTACAGGAATGTAACTTAGGAGCGAGCCTGCTTGAGCGCCCCCATAGCAAGCAGCTATAGGGGGAGGAGCACAAAAAGAAGAGGATCAGAGCTGTTCTGTGCAAAAGCATTGCACAGAGCAGGTAAGTATAGCATGTTTTTTTTTTCTTTTTGAATTACAACCTTTAGAATCACTTTAAGTGCCACGCAGCACATCATAAATGATATTGCAGGTTGATAAAACAGGGCCACACTTGGCATACTTCTGACCTTCTTTTGAAAATGCGGATTGGCTCTCTATCATCTTTTTTGGCCACTGAGCTGAAACAAGCATGCAGCCATTGAAGTAACAACTAATTTGGATACGGATGGGTCAGAGAATGAGAAAGTATTGTGACCGTCAGGCATGCTACATTCCCAGAAGTAGGCCAGCAAGTTTTCCTTTAAGCCCAATATTGACTTTTCCCAGTGTTACTGTAACATATTTCCTTTCTGTGCAGAGGATGGTTCCAGGCCACACCTCTACAGTCAACTATGCCGATCCCACCCTCATGCCCCTGGCACACGAGGAAGCCATCGCAAGGCAAAGAATCATAAACTCCCAGTTCAAATGTTACGAGAAAATGAAAAGGGATGCGCCTTATTCCAAGTCAGGTAAACGCCCTTCGCAATTTTTCATTTATGTTTTACTTTGTCACTACTATGGTATGTCTACTAAAGAACACATAGAAATTCTGTGCGCAAGAACACATTTACATAGTCATGCTAGAGCTAAAAAGTCCAAAGATGATTAAAGGTGGAGCAGAGGGAATCAGCGATGTCAGTCAACAGTTTGAAGAGGAGAGAACAGAGTGATGACTTTATTAGGGATGAGGAGCAAATTTTGTAAATTTAATGATTTGCTGTTTGCCAGAAATTCGATAAACATTTCCAAAGATAAACAAACAAAGAATACTCGGCTTAAACAATGAAGTTCACTATTTGAAGCTAAGAGAATAAGTGCTGGAACCTCCCCTTTCTGAGTCACCCCTTGTCTCCACCCCCTACCCACCTCTGAGCACAGTTCCTTGGTTCCACCCCCAACCAACCTCCCAGTACCATCCCTTTTAGAGAACACAGATACAAGTTTCATTTTGTTGAGCTAAGTAATTTTGGGGGAATTTGTAAAATAAATGTCCTGCAGCCAACAACAATAGACCCCCAGCAACAATAGATCCCACCAGCAGCAATGGACCACCCGTAACAAAATACACCCCAGAAACTATAGACCACTGTAAGCAGCAACAGATCTCCCCTCAGCCAGAATCAGTAGACCCTCCAGCAGCCAGCAGCAATAGACTCCTCCCTCAACAGTAGATCACTCCCAGTAACAATTGACCCACCAGCAACATAAGACCCACCCAACAACAATAGATTCCCCGCCAGTAACCATAGACCTCCCTGCAAAAATAGATCGCCTCTAGCAACAATAGATCCCCCAGCAGCCAGTATCAATATACTCTACAGCAGCCAGAAATAATAGACCCCTCCCTCACCAGTAGATCCCTCCCAGTAACAATTGACCCACCAGCAACGTAAGACCCACCCAACAACAATAGATTCCCCGCCAGTAACAATAGACCTCCCTGCAAAAAATAGATTGCCTCTAGCAACAATAGATCCCCCAGCAGCCAGTATCAATATACTCTACAGCAGCCAGAAATAATAGACCCCTCCCTCACCAGTAGATCCCTCCCAGTAACAATTTACCCCCAAGCAACATAAAACCCACTCCAGCAACAATAGATCTCCCATCAACAACAATAGACCCCCTGCAACAATAGATCTCACTACAAAAATAGATTCCCTCCAGCAACAATAGATTCCCCAGCAGCCAGCATCAGTAGACTCTCCAGAAGCCACCAACAATAGACCTCTCCTTCAACAGTAGATCCTCCCAGGAACAATTAAGCCCCAGCAACATAAGACCCACCACCAGCAACACTAGACCTGCCTGCAAACATAGATCCCTTCCAGCAACAATAGATCCCCCAGTATCCAGCATCAATAGATTCTTCAGTACACCCCAGAACCCCTTGCCATTACATATATTCAGTGCTGAATGTGACAAAATTGTGTTCCCCTGTGTTCCCACTGAAAAAAAGTCATGTATTACCTAAATTAAAAATAAAAAGTGATGACACCAGCCTCAGTGTGCAGTCTGGCAAGGGTGCCAGGTTCAGTTTCCTCTCCTCTGGTAAACACAGCAGGCAGTCCTGTCCTCCTGGATAGCATGTAATGCCCAAAAGTACTGTAAGCTCAGGTTGCTTAACTCCTTTTTAACATGAGTACTAAAAATATAAATTCAGTGATTTCCAGAACAATATGTAACATGCTTCTTACAGAAATGAAAACTGCGGCACGAGGGCCGGATGTGGCCCTTTGCTTCATTTTATCTGTCCCTTGGGGCATTATTCCCTCACTGTCAGCAACAGTGGGGCATAGTTCCTGCCACTGACACCAACAATGGGGCACTATTCCTCCCATTGACGCCAATGATGGGGCACTATTCCTCCCACTGACACCAATCATGGGACACTATTCCTTCCTACTGATACCATTGATGGGGCACTATTCCTCCCATTGACGCCAATGATGGGGCACTATTCCTCCCACTGACACAAATCATGGGACACTATTCCTTCCTACTGATACCATTGATGGGCACTATTCCTCCCATTGACGCCAATGATGGGGCACTATTCCTCCCACTGATACCATTGATGGGACACTATTCCTACCGCTAATACTGATGATGGGGCACTATTCCTACCGCTAATACCGATGATGGGGCACTATTCCTCCCACTAATACCAATGATGGGGCACTATTCCTCCCACTGACACCAATCATGGGACACTATTCCTTCCTATTGATACCATTGATGGGGCACTATTCCTACCGCTAATACTGATGATGGGGCACTATTCCCTCCCACTGATACCAATGATGGGGCACTATTCCTCCCACTAATACCAATGATGGGGCACTATTCCTTTCACTGACACCAATGATGGGGCACTATTCCTCCCACTAATCCATTGATGGGGCACTATTCCTACCAATGCTAATATACCAATGATGGGGCACTATTCCTACCACTGATACCAATGATGGGGCACTATTCCTCCCACTGACACCAATGATGGGGCACTATTCCTCCCACTAATACCAATGATGGGGCACTATTCCTCCCACTGACACCAGTCATGGGGCATTTTTTTACTGCCACTATGACTTTTTCTACTCCTGCTGGCCATAGTCCGGGCCCATAAAGATTGAAGGACAGTAAACTGGCCCTTTGTTTAGAAAGTTTGGAGACCCCTGGTCTAGAACAAAAACACATATGAATAAACACCACATGTATACATAAACAATAGGGCCATTCATATAACATAGACTATACATACCCCAAAAAAGGAGTATATTAAAAATTACATTGAAAGATGCATGTCCTGTATGGCAGGCCTCCAATGAGATCAGGTGAAGTGCAAGGTGGATAAACCCAGGCAACAAGCCTAAACAAAAGGTGATACCCTAGTATATTGTGGCCATTAACAAAGGACCCTAGATTCGAAATACGATTGCAACATCATAAAGGACTTTTATTACATTTACTTTACATTAAATTACCTTTTATGAAAGGAAAATCAATGGCTGAAAAGGAGAGAGTGGGAGAGGGAGCTAGGTTTAAAAGTACAATACACTAAGGAGTGTATTTGTAAAAAAAAAAAATCACCCAGTGAAAGTGGATATACATTCATTCTGCACTAATGGGGAAAGAAAAGAATGTTATTAGGCTATTTCATAGAAACATTATTACTATTATACAGGATTTATACAGCACCAACAGTTTGCGTAGCACTTTAGGCGTGGCGTCAAAATAAAAGGCCAAGTGGTCCATTGAGACTGCCCCAATATTATTTTTTGTATTTACATATTTTTCTTTCTAATTTTTTTTTAAAGCAGAACCCCTCCCAAAAGGGGAAATTCACTTGTCTGCCTCCCCCCCCCCCCCCCCCCCCACTGCCACATTTGGCACTTTTTGAGGTTTTGACAGGTACAATCTGAGCGGGAAGTTCGGCCCCCTCTCCTAACCCCCACAGCCTTCTGGGACACTTAACAGGTTTCGGAAGACTGTGGCCTATTCTCAAAGCTTCGCGCATACACAGTAAGAAATCGGCTGTGATGCTGCAAGGCGTCACTTCTGGTTTCCCAAGCTGAAGATGCCAGCACCAGCACATTGAAGCTGATTGAAGGCTCGGGTGAGGACATCGGTGGACCACCCAGGACAGGTAAGTGCCCCTTTATTAAAAGTCAGCAGCTATTTGTATTTGTAGCTGTTGACTTTTATTTTTTTGGAGGGAGCCCAGAGCTCTGCTTTAACTTTTTTGTCTAAGTATGTATATATTTCTTCCAAGCAAGTTTGAATCCACTTACTGTTATGTGACTCACTACCTCTGCTAGAAGTCTATTTCGAGCATCAGCTACAGCTATTAGTAGAGAGGGACAAAAGAAGGACAGTTCCTACAAATGAGGGACAGTTGGTTGGAACTATGATTTGTGTAAAGAAGCCAGAGGGAGGGGGAATGAGTCTCTACACTGCTCCAGTTTTGTTTTTTATTTCCAGAGTGAGCCACTGAGCTCTGTAACCAATAAGCTTTTTTTAATCAAAGAAACTGAGCAGATCATGTAAACAAACACATGAAGGGGGGCCTAGATCTCTACCTGCATTGCATATTTTTTTTTTAAAAAGTTCAGATATTCAAATTTGCCTGACTAAAAGAAAAAAAGAAATATAAATATGTATTTTTAGTCCCTTTTAGTTTCCATTTGTAACTTCTAAACTAAATCAGTAAAAGTTAATTAGCCTAAAGCTGAGGTGTAGCCTGCTCCCCATGCCCCTCCTCCGCCTCTACTTACCCCCCTTTTCCCACGAAGGCCCCCAGGACCTTATAGATACCTTATAGATACTTTTTACCTTGTGGTCTTCAGGCTGGGGTGAGAACTTTTTGGCGGCAGTGGTGGAAGATGTCTACTAGTGTACTAAGTTGGTGCTCGTGTAATGTAATGATAAGGAGTTTTTTTTTTTTTTTTTTTACTTTTTATAGTTCAATGTTTTTCCCAAACATGTCTGACTCACTACCTCTGCTGGAAGCCTATTCCAAGCATGGAAGAGTAATGTTTAGAATAGACTTCCAGCAGAGGTAGTGAGTCAGTCAACAGTAATTGGATTCAAAAATGCCTAGGACAAACATCGATCTATATCCTAACAAAAAGGGAAAAAGGAAACAAAGACACAAAAAACAAACAAAGAAAAAACAAAAAACATGTATAAATATAAAGACAAAAAAGGGGCAGACTCTATGGCCTACTTGTTTTTTTTTTCTGCCATTTTTTCTATGTTTCTGTGAAATAGCCTTAAAATCCTTTTTTTTTTGCCCCATTAGCACAGAAGGAATGTACATACACTTTCATTGGGTGAATTTTGTAGAAATACTGTTGTACATATTGTACTATGAAACCTAGCTCCCTCTCCCACCCTGTCCTATTCAGCCATATTGAATTGCCTTTCATGACACATAAGTGATGTAAAGCCCTTGCTCTCTTACCCACAATAAGCCGGCATCCCAGCAAGCTGACACATATCACATATAAAAGCTGAATTAATACCAACACAGCTATGCGCTTAAACGTATAAAGTCTATAGAAGCAATGCTCATAAAAGTGGCCTATATTGCAGAATGGTAAATGAAAAAAAATTATCTTTGGAAATCCATACAGAAAGTCGCTTTGGATACAGACTGATAAAGATCCAACTTAAATTTCAAATGTCATAACTGTATTCCGATAGATCATAATCCCCCCACTCTATACAATCATAATTACAGATGTCAGTCATTTTCACCTGTAGGGAAAACACATTCCCCGGCATGCTTGGTGCTAGTAATTCCAATGTCCCCCAAATAACCTTCACCGCTTCTCTAAAAACAGATCTGGTCCGAAATCAAATAAAGTTCTGTGTTCGTTTCCTGGAAACGTTTTTATCTCTGCGATAGGAAATCCAATAGCAATTCTTAGAGGACAAAGGCGAAATGTAACTATATATTTTCCAGCACCGTGTTGGAGGAGGATTGTAGGCAGCCAATTGGTATTTTGTAAATGTTTCTTTCATCAGTGAACCAGTTGAAATTGGATATTAGTGTTCGAGATTCTGTATATAGCCCTACAGAACAGACAATGCACAGTCCATATGGGTTATTCTGCTGCTACTCTGCTAACAGGAAACAGGACCTTTACTATAAAAAGGCACATTTTTACCATAGATGCCGCTACAAAACATGCTTATAAACACTGCCATCTACCGGTTGAAGAATATATTGACAAAAATTAAAAAAATCGGCGCTGGAGAGAAAAGGAAGAACTAAAAGTCCAAAAATGTAAGGGAGTAGTCCGTATTATGCAGTTTTTTTGGACGCTACGGTGTGGAACCGAGAGACCAGGCCCCGTAGCAGCCCTGGATCATAGATGATATTCCACCCTCTCCACCAGCCTCTGGGACCTCTGAAGGATGACGACCGTCCTGAAATACATGCCCAGGGGCGGACTGACCATTTAGTCACTCGGGCACTGCCCGAGTTCCCAGGGTCAGTAGGGGGCCCCATGAGATGCCCCTGGTACCCTTTTTCATAGGCTTTCATAGCCTATATCGCACAACAATACATGAACACAGTTTTCCAACACCCCTACTCAACAACTACTCTCTACACTAGCCCCTCCTCAGATCTCAGTTCTATAAATCTGCTTCTTGTAATCGGTTTTGTCAAAGCATTTGCATTAACATGATTTAGCTCTGAAACTGTCATCTCTTCATCAACAGCTCTGATCCACTTTTGCTTCTCATGGGTTGGAAGTCTTTGCATCTCATCCCATGGATCTGGCTCTGGGTTTAATGTTACACGAGCAACATAGGACAGACGTTTGGCTGGGATGCCTTATTGCTTCTGGTGGATTTCCTGATTAAAGCCTCTTGTGACCTGGTTTCTTCTTTTTCAGTACTTAGATTGTCTGTGTTCATTTCTATTTCTGTGTCACTTTGTTGCTTATCTTCATGTGACACTGATGTGGAATTTCCCTCAATTGGAGGCATATGTGTTGGTTCATGAAATTCTGAAGACACTGAAGTTTCATCGACAGTTACACTTGTACTGATTGTTACCTTTTTTGTATCTTGGTGTAGAATTCTGTATCCCTGTTGAGATTCACTGTACCCCACAAGTACACCTTTCTTTGCACAAGCATCCCATTTTATACTTTTTTCTTTTGGGATGTACACATAGGCTTTGCTTCCAAAAAATTTTAGATGGTTCAAATTTGGGGCTTTTCTATTCCACAATTCATATGGAGTTTTCTTTCAGTTGAATATCCTGGTAGTCGATATTGAAAATGGCTTGTGGTCATAATTGCCTCCCCCCAGTACTGTATGTGGTTAGCATATGTGCATCAAACAGCAAGGTTCTTCCACTTTCACATAGTGTATGATTCATTCATACTGCAACACCATTTTATTCTGGGTTGTACGATACAGTAGTTTGAAATATTATGCCATGATTTCTGTGTATTATCATCTGCAAATTCAGTTCCATTGTCTGTGTGCAATACACTCAGCATCTGGCCAAATTTGTTGCTTGCTTGAGCCAAATACTGTTCAAATTTCTCTGGTACCTCACTTTTGTTGTTTAACAGATATAGTGTAGTATACCTGGACTAATCATCTATAAAAGTGAGAAAATACCTCTTCTTTCCTGGAGTTAGTTTTTCAATTGGACCCCAAAGATCTGAATGAAGTCCAGAGGTTTCTTAGCTCTGTTGTTACTCTGCTTTGGAAAGGCTTTCCTTGTCATTTTTCCTTTTATACAGCTGGTGCATTTCATTGTTTGATCACATGGACTAATTTTTATTCCACTTACAGTACATAGTCATTCTCAGTTCATTTCCTTATTATGTCAAGACTTCTGTGCTCAAGTCATCTGTGCCATGTGCGAATGCAGTTTGAATGCTTTTCTTTCTTGGCAGTATTAATCACCTCATTGCAGTTCAGCTCATGCAGTTCATCTGTAATTTTACCCTTTTGTAGTTTAGTTTGTTTTTGCGTTCTAGTTTTCCAGATTCTGCAATCTGCTTTTAAATGACCTTGTTTCTTGCATTTGCATGTTTCTTGTTGCATGTTACTGTTTTATTCCAATTTTTTGTCTTTCAAGCAGACTCTGCAACAGAGGCATCGTCATTATTAATGCTTTCTGTTTTATGGTTATATTCATCCACAAGCTTGTCTTAACATATTCCAATGTCAGTTCATCATCTGGACGGACATCAAATGCTGTGTGACAAACATTTCATAGCTTTCTGATAAACCACTAAGTGATAGTGCTGCGACATGAAAATCTTTTATTTCTTCTTTTATACCTCCCAGGCATTCAACCATTTCCAAGGTGTGCCTTATGTAAGCCTACATATCCTGGCCTGTCATCAGCTTGGTTTGGTATAGCTTTTTAATCAAATACAGTTTTTGCTGAGATTAGCTCTTTCATGCACCTTTTGTAATGCTTCCCACATCTTTGTTAGCAGTTTCATACTTACACATATGTATGATTTGATCATCTTCTATGCTAAGATAGATTGTGCTCTAAGCTTTCTGGTCTTTCTCTATTCACTCATCTGATGGATGTTCATTTATACATTTTCACGTACCTTCTCTTATTAGCAGCATTTTCATTTTGAATTTCCAAGACTGATAATTCTGGTTTATCAGATTTGCAAAGGAAAGGTTTGTTGCATCTGTGTTACTGGCCATTTTCTTTGATCGTTTTACAGTCTTCTTTCTGTCGCTGTATCTTCTTTTGTTGTAGCTGGCTATGCCTGGGTGTCTGTGCCCATAACCTGTTAGAGATTCTGTATATAGCCCTACAGAAACGTGCACACAGCCGCATGTGTTATTCTGCTGCTTCTCTGATAACAGCAAACAGGTACTTTTTTTATTACAGAGAAAAGACATAGAGTTTATCACATGTGCAGCTACAAACTTATAAACACTGCCATCTACTGATTGAAGAATATATCTCTACTAAATACTGTTGGTGTAGTTGTTGCACAAAAATACATGAACACTTTACTCCAACAATTTGAATTCTGATTCTCCTAAACCTAAACCAATGTTTTATGGAGCAGCTGAGGGAGGATTGCATTTTGTCTGGTTTTCTTTTTGCTGTAACACATAGGAACAATGCACATTACTACAAATTAAGAAGTTGTAAAGGTCTACAACCAGCAAGAATTAGAGGTCTATTAAGTAGACGTTCAGTCAGAAAATTAAGTCCTGCTGGATCACTTTTGATGGTAAAACAGTAAAAATAAGCCGACCGCCAACAGTACATATACAGCTGGCAGCCTGCTTCCCTAGGCACTGCGACTTACCTGTATGTCATGGTGCTCATGCACACTGGCGCACCCCCTATGGCACACAGCAGACACAATCCTGTGACCGATCCTGTGACCACTGTGCTTGGTGAACACAGAGGGTAACAGTGCTAGGTACCAGGCCACTATGAGTGGCTGGGGTATCATGCAATAGCTATAACCAATCAGAGCAATCATATGATAGCATGTAAGCAAAACTGTCATAAATGACTTTCATTCATGTCAGCTTGCTTACTATTTCGATGCTGTGATTGGTCTACACCTATCCCATGGCTCTTTCCTTGTCCAGGGAGACTGGTCTTGTCTCCGCCCCCTACTGTAGTTACCTGCAGGCAGCCTGTAGTGGGTGAAGCTGTTAAGTTCTTCCCACAGCTCTGCTCTCTGCACAGTCTATGTACAGCATAGTGATGATGTCACTGCCACTTTTACAAGGCAGTATCTGGGTTTGCACATACAAAACGATGTACACAAAGTGGATTTACATCCTTTGTAACTATAAAGGAACGCTATGTCTAAATGAAATTTCTTGTGCTTAGAGTTCAGCTTTTAGTACAATTGCTATATTTTATGTCAGTACAAAATTCAGTCTGCTGGTAAATAAATGTATGTATTCTTTTAACGAATAGGTCTGTATTGTAACCGCACCTGGGATGGGTGGCTTTGCTGGGACGACACTCCAGCCGGACAGAACGTAACTCAGAACTGTCCAGACTATTTTGCAGATTTTGATCCTACAGGTAGAACACTCTTCTTTTCTGTGATTGTGTTTTTGTTTGTTTTTTTGTGAATTAAAGGCTTACTCTCATTCATGTTGTCTTTATACCCAGTTGAGTTCACATTATTTCGAGACTAATTTTCTCTTAGAAAATTACTTTAAATTACTTTTTTCTCTTAGTAAAAATGCTCCTTTTTGCACTCACCCCTCAGTGCTCTATACTGGCAGAGCTAAGTAATAGCCACACCCACAATGTCCTCACAGAGGCTTCTACTGTAGAGGAAGAGAGGGAGCGTGTCTGACCAGGTCTGTTACTAAGCACATTGATCTACACAGTCATTTCTAGACACACAACACAAACAGTGTAACAGGAAAGTGAAGGTGTAAAGGTGAAGCTATGAAAGTTGAGGTTGTTAGTTTAATGCCTTGATGACTGCATGTCTGTTTCTGTGATGTCAGTTGGGCCTAAAAGCTCACCATCTACATCAGGCCTCCAAACTATTTAAACAAAGGGCTGGTTCACTGTCCATCAAGCCTGCTTGGAATTCAGGCTGTAACCAGTAGGAGTAAAAAAATGCCCTGTTTCAGAAGTCAAAAATGTTCTAGTCTTAGAGGTCAATGAAGGTAAAAAATATGCCCCAGAATCAGAGGTCAGCAAGAGTAAAAAAAATGCCCTGGTGTCAGTAGGGGTAATAGATTTACCAGCAGTGGTGGTCGATGGTAGTAATAAATGCTCCTGCCTTGGTAGACAATGGGAGGAATACATGTATCTATGTTTCTGGTTACTGAGATTACTAATACCCATGTGTCAGTAGAACAAATAGTGTCTCATGATTTGTGCCAGAGGGAGGAATGGTTCCCTGTCATTGGTGTCAGTGGGAAAATTGGTGCTTCATCATTACTGCCAGTGGGAGGAATGGCCCCCTATTTTTTGGTGTCAGTGGTAAGTGGGAGAAATAATGCCCCAACATTGGTGTCAGTGGTCAATAGGTGATCTGGCGCTTCATCACTATTGTTAACGTTCAGTGAGAAAAATAATGCCTGAGAAATTGTGTCATTGGTGAGTGGAAGGAATTATGCCCCTGCATTGGTGTTCAGTGGTCATTTGGATGAATGGTGTGTTATCATTGATATTAATGGTCAGGAAGAATAGTGCCCCAGCATTGGTGTCAATGGTAGGTGGGAGGAGCGGTCCCATGTCATTGGTGCCAGTTGTCATTTGAGAGGAATGATGCCCCTGAATTGGTGACAGTGGTCAGTGAGAGAAATAATGCATCAGCACTGGTGTCAGTGGTGGGTGGGAGGAATTGTCCCCTATCATTGGTGTCAATGGTCAGTGGGTGAAATGGTGCCACAGCATTGGTGTCACTGGTGAGCGGGAGAACAGATCCCCTATCATCAATATCAGTGGTCAGTGGAAATAATGGTGCTCCAGCATTGGTGTCAATGGTCAGTGGGAGAAATGGTTCCCTATCATTGGGTGAAATGGTGCCTCAGCATTGGTGTCAGTGGGTGAAATGGTGAAATGGTGCCCCAGCATTGGTGTCCATGGTCAGTGGCAGAAATGGTTCCCCAGCATTAATGTTCAGTTACACTTATGAGCAGGCTCCATGTCTTGTACTACTTGTCATGGTAACATCAAGGCAGAAACATTACAGGCATCATCGAGCAGAAGATCTCTCTGCTTAACTGCTCTTCTTTCTAGCATCTGGCACCACTCTGCATACATCATCTTCCTTCCTACTGCTTGTGATGAAAAAGCCCTGGCTACAGGCCATCATTTGAGGACCTACAAATTTGGCCATATACTATAGGTGTATTGGTCAGTTGTCCACAAACACGTGAACGTGACCTTACATGAGTCCTCTAATATCCAAGGGGGAGGAGTTTAGCAGTGTTTGCCAGTAGAGATTCTTACTTTTAATCAACCAGGGACAACATTGCATATTATTTACATGATTTGAAGACCTTCCAAAGCAACCTTGTCTTGTTGCAAATAATAAAACAGCTTTGATGCGTTAAACATTTTTTGTCATGCTTAAGCACTTGAGAATTGGGAAAAAATGGCAAATCACCATCAAACAGAAGAAGCCCTTCTTTGCTTTCATATTGCCATCTGCTCAGTGCCAATTCAGCCACAAGGCATGCCATCAACATGACAGAAGCAGGGCACCTTTTCTTAATTCATAAAACATCCTCAAAATGTGCGGAGTGCCACCACCATGCTGTTAGCAATCCACAGTCAAATTTTTTTTCCCCTGCTCTACAGGCAGCACATATTTTCCTGTTTGTGCTTCTCTGCGCACAGATGTCAGATGAAATAGCTTAAGGCATGTTCTCCACTATGTTTAAATATAAATATGATTTCAATAAACGACTTTTTGATCTGGGATTTTCAGCCTAAGCTAACACAAAGTGCAGGCTTGGGTGTCAGTGCCATAGAAAATGAAAAAATGATTGTACAGTATAAGATAAATGACAAATTTAAGTATTTTTCATATCAGGGTTTTATCTATTTACTGTGATGTCCTGACACTTTTCTATATATCTGAAGGGGCTGATTTGTCAATATACAAAAGTATATGGGCAGATATACAGTATATTCCCAAGAATGATGACTATGCATGGGTATTACTAAGGGCATAACTCTAGTCATTGCAGTCCAGGGAAGTGAAATGGGGCTCAAAAAATAGAGATGAGCCATACGGGTTCCATTTGAGCAGGGTTTGGCTAACATGACTAAAGTTTTGGTGCTGAATCTAAAAATCATTGAAGTCAATGGCAGCCAAGTTTTAAAAAAAAAAAACAGTTCTACCTATTTTTTTTTTGCCAATAGGCAAGGAAAAATCCCAGTAGATCAGCAGTTTTTGAAATACTCAGACCAGCCGTCTGGCAGCAACAACCATACCTCGTTCAAAGTCACTTAAATCCCCCTTCTTCCCCATTCTGATTCTCGGTTTGAACTTCAGCAAGCCGTCTTCGTCTAGATGCCTAAATGCATTGAGTTGCTGCCATGTGATTGGCTGATTAGCAATTTGTGTTACCAAGCAATTGAACAGGTGTACCTAATAAAGTGGCCGGGGGTGTATATAAAGCTTTAGAACCTCTATACAATTTCTATGAAAACAATTAGAATTCTATATCAATAGATGCTTGCTGAACTGGAGATTAGAAAGAATGGGGGGGCCTAATGATTTTGTTGCATTGTATTTAATGTATAGGTGCCCGCTCACATTCCATCACAGGAGCATGGAGGAATGGACTGTCAATTGTAGTGGGAACTTTGAATAAGATGTTACTCTGTTATATCACCCCTTAAACAAAGTGAGCATTAAATCCTTTATCAGCTGGATATGGGGTGTGAACAGGGGCGGACTGACCATTTGGAGGGCCGGGGTCAGTAGGGGGCCCCATGAGATGCCCCTGGTACCTTTTTCATAGGCTTTTTTGAGTCTGGGCAAGGACACAGGGGCCCCATGATCCCCTATTGCCCGGGGGCCCCATGAGTTGTCAGTCCGCCCCTGTGTGTGAAGGACTGGGACCACTTTAATATCTTATAAAATACTCAGAGTTTATCTTTAAGAGAGGAGATTCGGATTCTTAATAATAACCATTTATGATTGGTTGCTTGTAAAGTAAATGTTAACACCACCATACATGGCTTAATTTTCTCCTGTTCAAAATCAATCCATACTAACAGCATGGATGGAGAGATCTTCACTGCCAGGGTGCCTGAATACAATGGCGCTGCTGAACAGTCACCCCACAACAGGAAGTGCCTGAACAAGAAAGAGCCTTCATGGCAGGATCACCATAGAATTCTTTTAATGAAGCTGAAAATTAAAAATAAATAAATAAATTCTATTAACGTGATAGAGCTTGTAAAAGATTTTAGAGATCAATTTTATATCTGTTTTAAGTGCTTTAACAGGTGTATGAAATCTCTAATGCATATTATTCATTGTGTCTTGTGTCATTCTGTCCAAAGTATATCTCCCTAGTTTCTTCATGTAATTATCAAATACACAATAATGAAGGACGGCAGCCATAATTAAAACAGCCAATTCCAGACATCTTCAGCTATTCATTATATTTTGCTTTAATGAATGAAGGAAGGATGAATTTATTTTCATGTCATTTTTTATTTGCTTAAATGCATAATTTGCTTATCTGGTCCACAGTAGATTAAGTAGTATGTAGAAGAGAAAAATAATGCTGTTAATTATAATTTGGTCATCAGAAGAGTGTTAGGATCCTTGATTATATAATTATATTCCTTCTATTATAATAGATTTCTAATATTGGTTTTAGTAGTGCTTCGTAAACTGTGAATGTTTTCACATTTTTTATTACTATAACTAATATAGCTTTTTTTTTTATATTGCACATGTAAATGTTTAAAGAGACCCTATCACCATACCAAATTAATTAATACAATGAAAAACAATTAATTTCAATACAAATCTTTTCATATATATGCATTTAACTTACTAATAACTTACAAGAGCTGCTGCTGGGAGCCACCATCTTTGGTTTGTCAGAGCTGAAGCTCTATAGCAGCTATTCTCAACCAGAATCCTAGGGTTCCCCCAGAGGATGCGAGGGGTTCTTTGAGCTCTGGCTGATTAACCTCCTTTCTGATGGTGCCTGCCTAGTTCCAGGGCCAACTGTATTTGCTATAGCCATCGGCATGACACAAATTGTCTTTTTATCTGTCTGAAAGGATGGCATTCTTCCCACTGACCACCACTGCAATGAGCATTGTTCCCATTAACTACCAATATAGGGGCATTCCTTCAGCTAATCTCCAAAGTAAGGGTCATTTGTACCACTGACCACCAATGTAAGGGGCATTCTTCCCACTGTTTTAAAATGTAAGGGACATTCTTCTCACTGACCACCAAAGTAAGGGGCATTCTTCCCACTGACCACTACTGTAAGGGGCATTGTTCCTACTGACCACCAATGTAAAGGGAATTCTCCCCACTGACCAGTGATGCTAGGGGCATTCTCCCCACTGAC